GTGTGAGCTTAAATGGACTCCAGAGGATGGTAGAGGACAGGAAGGCCTGGAGGAACATTGTCCGTGGGGTCACAATGGGTCGGACATGACTTTGGAACTAAAAACAACAACAAGCAAGAGGCTGAATCATCTAAATAAATGTTGGTTAGGTCCCAGAATTATTATTTTTTTGAGCATGTCAAAGTTCAGCCTGGAAATCTTGGGGAAAGGCAAAAAGTTCACAAACCTGGAAACTAAAATTAGCTTAATTTAAGACCCTGAAGTTTAGATCCCATGTAGACAACAGCTATAGATGTTCGACACCATCAAGAAAAGACAGTTAATTGAAAAGGCCATTTAAAAAAAATTATTTCATCTTCCATTTTGGGAGGAAGAAGATGACTTAAAGAAAACGTCCTAAATCAGCCATGGAGATCTTCACAATTAAAACGGCCCTCTTTAAATAAATTGTTTGATCCAGTGGTGGGATTCAGAAAGTTTTACTACTGGTTCTGTGGGCGTGGCTTGGTGGGCGTGGCAGGGGAAGGATACTGCAAAATCTCCATTCTCTCCCGGTCATCTGGGACTCGGGAGGCAGAGAATAGATGGGGCGGGGCCAGCCAGAGGTGGTATTTGCTTGTTCTCCCAACTACTCAAAATTTCCGCTACCGGTTTTCCAGAACTGGTCAGAACCTGCTGAATACCTCCTCTGGTTTGATCTGATTGAAACTGGAACCTAGCAGCAAAGCTCATCAAGATGGATTCTTTCATTACATTATATCACAAAAGGGTTTATTCAGTTTTACCTTGAGAAGTTGTGTGAATTTTTAACTTGCCGGTGTATAAGCCATGGTTTTGAATGTAGGGCATTTGAATGCAATCCGTTAAGCAAATCATGGATTGCCATGAAAGAACATGGAATAATAGAGTTAGAAGGAACCTTGGAGGTCTCCTAGTCCAACCCTCTGCTCGAGCAGGAGACCCTACACCATTTCAGACAAATGGTTGTCCAGTCTCTTTTTGAGAGCTTCCATGATGGAGCACTCACAACTTCCCTACCCCTTCGTAGGAATGGTGTAACCAAAGCTTTTTGTGGTGATAACAGCTCTCTCTCCCTCTTCATCTCTCACGCAACAATGTCATTTTTCCCCTCCTCTTTTCTCACTGGAGAATTCTCCATTGATTGAGAGAAGGAAAGAGAAGCAGGACCACTCTGAATTCCCCGGAGCAGTTCAAGAAAGTAGACCTTGATCATAAAGGAGAATCTAAGGGCATCTAGTGCGAATCAGCTCAGAGCACCAGCGCCTGCTGATAACGGAAGATGGTTTTTAACTCCTGGTTCTCTTTTCTCAGTTGGCAGTAACAAACACACAAAGCATGGCTGTCAAATGCCAGTTGGGGGTCTTCAGAAATACAAGCCCCTTGGCTTGTTCCCTTGTCCTCTTGAGATGAACTTATCTGCTCCGTCTCATGAAAAGGTTTCACACATGGAACCGGTTCCAGATGTGGTATCCAGCAGGTTCTGACCAGTTCTGGAGAACCAGTAGCAGAAATTTTGAGTAGTTGGCTCAAATAGCTGGCTGGCCCCGCCCCCATCTATTCTCTGCCTCCCGAGCCCCAGCTGATTGGGAGGGAATGGGGATTTCGCAGTATCCTTCCTCTGCCATGCCCACCAAGCCATGCCCACCAAGCCACACCATGCCCACCCAGCTACGCCCTCAGAACCAGTAGTAAAAAAAATTGAATCTCGCCAACGGAGCCAGTAGTCGGGATGGGCTATGTTTCATCTTGAGAAGCCAGCAGAAATGGCACAAAATATCAGCCAGCCTGCAGAGGAAGCTAAAAGTGGAGAACCAGTAGAAGACCTGGGATGGGTGAAGAATTTAATCATCTTTTAGGCTTCGGGTGGTTTGATGGGAAAAGGGTCAACCAGGATTGGAGCCAAGATATCTTAATTAATCAAAGCAATATTGCCTCCATATCGGAACACTAGTGACACCAACTTCTCAAAGATGTATGATTTGTGGGGGTTCAGGGTGACCATAAATAAGCAGGTACTTCAGCTACCCTGAAACCAGAAGAGTAGCTAATGGTTATAAATATCTCCAACCCAAAAATTCCTGAAAACATTGTAAAAACCAGTAGATCATCATCATCTTCTTCTTTTAATGACCCCATAATCCCTTGTGGGGTGGAATCCCAGCAAGCGAATGGAGATAGCACAGTGTTTGAATGGCCGGATGCCCTTCCTGTCACCAGAGCGGAGTTTTGTTCAGCAGATACATTCTTCGTGCCCAGAGAGAGAAATACCTGCCTCTACCTAGGATCGAACTCACAGCCTCCTGATTGTGAGGGGAGAGCTCACAATGATCTTAGTGATCTTCCAACGATTACTTCTTGTATTTAGATCAGATTTAATTTGTTTTATTTATTTCACTTTATTTAAGGCAGGCCCCATCATTGTTGGATTTCTTTAGATTTTATTCTTATTTTTCTGCCGCTTCCCTATCGAGCTACCTAGCTAGCTATTACCTATCTGTCATCTATCATCTATTGTCATCTATCAACATCTATCATCTAGCTAACTAGCTAGCTATCATCTATAATCTGTCATCTATCTATCTATCTATCTATCTATCTATCTATCTATCTATCTATCTATCTATCTATCTATCTATCTATCATCTATCATTGTCTGTCTGTCTGTNCCCCCCCCTAAGCAGACCCTTTCATCTTGTCTAATCAACCTGCTATATTGCATAGAATCTTAACAGAAAAATATAACAATTAAGCCAATCGAGCAAATATGGAGCTATGCAAACCATTTGACATTCTGTGTTTCTGGATATATTTCCTGCATTAACAGCAATAGTATTTAACATTTAATATGATTCATGTATTTATGAAACAGCCTATTATGAACTGACATCAGGATCCAGATGAATTCGATAACATTTTCTTAGAGGTAGTTCTTGTTTAGCGACTGCCCAAGGCAGCGATCGTTCACAGAGGTGAAAACTTAACCCATTTATGAACTTCACAGGCCTGTAAAGCAAAGGAAAGCTGAAGTAAAGATCATAAGGAATCGTGGTTTCTTTGGATGACTGCTTAACAGCCAAGTTGCTGGTTCCAATTCTCGTTGCTAAATGAGGACCATCTGTAATCTTGCGTTTTAAAGTTCACAATTAACATTTCTTCGATTAAATCTGAACTGGATAGGAAGAACAGAAAACGCTCAAGAGAAACTTCACCAAAATATCCCTGATTTGTAATTTCTTAGTCCTAGTTCTTTATCCTGGACAACTTTCAGGCACTTAGGGACTGCATAAAATAGGAAGAAAGGGGAAGCACCAGTGTTCTCCCCAAAGTGTGTACCCTTCTCTGGCATGCCTGCCAAACCATGAACAGAGAGAGAGAAATCCAGAGATGTTGGAGCTGCATAAGTGGATGAAAATTCCTTCCTTGGAAATTGAAGGAACGGTGATTCCCCCACCCCACCCTTAAAAGTATAATGTTCTTTCAATGATCTCACAGTAAGATGATGCTAAACCTCTCATGAAGTCTTAGCTGAGCACATTTGAAGTCCTATGAAACATCCCATGATCCTCTCTTGTTTCAACTGCCAGAAAAGCCAACACAGTCCTAGGCTATATTAGCAGAGGGATAGAATTAGGATCACATGAGGTGTTAATATCGCTTTATAATCTCTTGCTAAGACTACACTTGGAATATTGCATCCAGTTTTGGTCACCACGATATAAAAAAGATGTTGAGATTCTAGAACGAGTGCAGAGAAGAGCAACAAAGACAATTAGGGGACTGGAGGCTAAAACATATGAAGAACAGTTGCTGGAATTGGGTATGTCTAGTTTGGTGAAAAGAAGTAGTAGTGGTGACATGATAGCAGTGTTCCAATATTTCAGGAGCTGCCACAAAGAAGAGGGAGTCAACTTATTTTCCAAAGCACCTGAAGGCAGGACAAGAAGCAATGGGTGGAAACTAATCCAGATGAGAACCGATCTGGAAATAAGGAAAAAAAATTCTGACAATGAGAACAATTCATCAATGGAACAGTTTGTCTTCAGAAGCTGTGGGTGCTCCATCACTGGAGGTTTTAAAGAAGAGATTGGATGGCCATTTGAAATATACCGTTTCCTGATTAAGCAGGGTGTTGGACTAGAAGACCTCCAAGGTCTATTCCAACTCTGTTACTCTGATTTTACCACTTGATGAGACACACGTAAACACCCCAGTGCTCTTAGAGACCACATGGCCAATCTCGCTGCAACTCAGTAAATCCTGACTTGCTGGTCCCAGAGCTCTTAGGGACCTACTTTTTAATTATCTTTGTTAATAACAGCATAACCGTCTAGGCTAGGCTCGTTCACATGCGCCCCACAAGTGTCGAAGTCCGCCAAAGAGGAATGGTGGGGACATCTTTCTCGCCAATGCCGAATACCTGCTGGAATGTCACCACTGTACTGATCCTCGGTCAGAACAGGACGGGTTAAAATGGGGACGTCTAGATGCCCGCTATAACTCAGACCCGGCGTGGGATAGCTGCACCCGGCGATATGACTGAAGTGATCTGATGAATAGAGGTCCACATTGTCATGGTCTCCACAGGAGAGGTTTGCCGATTTCATCTCGTGATAATGTTCTTCAGGGACTTGGCGGCTCCTTGTAGATGCTGGCCGCGCTGTTTCTTCCACAGGGTACACCAACTTCTCTAGGTGGTATTCCTTGTCCTTCGGCTTCTCTCCTATCGAGGCCGAGTCATTGGAGGAGTTAGGTGACTGCTGCGCCACGCTGCCTTTCAGTTCTTTGGGTCCGTCGATGGTACCTGACCCAGGAACGCTCAGATGCTTCATGGCATCGCAGATTTTAGACTCGTTCATCGTCTGCCGAGTCTGGTAGTCATAAGGAGTCTTGCTTACCCCAGTAGGATCGTTGAGGATGGCTAGGGCTTGAGGGCCACTTTCATCCGAAGGCAGATGAGGGAGGGTTTCTCCCCCACAGGATGGTAGGCCCAGCCTTGTTTCAGTAAGCCAGGCCTCCTCATTGGCTGCTCTCAAAGAAGAAGAAGTGGTAGAGAAGTGGAGAGGCTGTTGTCCAATGACAATGTCACTGTACGTAATTAGGAAGTCCTCACTGTCAGTGCTTCTGATGCAGGAGTGTGTCGAGGTTTCCTCTGGTTGGTTCTGGTTGCTGTCCTTCTCAGGAGCCTGTTCGGAGGCAACTGGTCGAATCTCTCTTGGAGCGCATCGGAGACCAAAACTTTCGCCATGCTCCATCTTCTCCTGCTCTTTGAAGGCACTCTGGCTGTGGTTCAAGTAGGCCACTGCAGGATTTGGTGTCTCGTTGCTTTCTCCGACGGTCACTTCCCCTTTCGTTTGTGAGTGTTCCTGCTTTTTAGCGAGGCCAACACAAGGGGGACCATGTTTCTGAGCCCTCTTCTGTAGGATGTCAGCCAGGTCTTTCATGTCCCTTGCAACTTCAAGAAGGTCTTCGCATTCGATTCTCGCCAGGAACATTTCAAAGGCAGCCTTCTCTGCTTCTTCCTCATTTAGTTTTCTGACCAGGGAATATTCAGTAGCAGAGGTGGCAACATAGCCGATTTCTGACAGCAGTTGTTGTGCTACACTTTCCGGAAGGATGGACTTTACATAGTAGACAAAGTTGCCTGTAAAAGTCTAAAGGGAATGAGAAGAATAGCATTAGGGAGACATCAGCATGGGGAAATTATTACTACTCTGTGAAATTATGGGTAGAAGATCTTCTGTTGCTTGAAGTCTGAATTCTTCTGTTGATTGTATCCACAAGGGAATTCGGACTTCAAGCAACAGGATAAGACTCACCTTGACTGGCCCCAAAGAGTCAGGCTGGCGTTAGAAATCTTCCTTCCTGCTGAAACTTCATTGTATGTTCCCCCGTTATCTCTTTACCTGGGATGTAGTTAGCTAAATCTGGCCATTGGGACGTCTATCATTGGACAAGGAAGGATCCCCCGCATGTTTCAAAAAGTTTTATTACATATAAAAAAATCCATTTCTAAATAGTGTTTGTCTGCGTACACATAATTTTGAGAAATAATAATACTTACAATAGTATTCATCAGTTTGCCATTGATCCCATAATAATAATGTTTGCTTATCTATTTTCATAAACCTCCCATATAAAATTACTCCTTCCCTTATATTTCCATATTTCTAACTTCTGTTTTTATTGGCTAGCAATTGACAAAATTAGTCCCATGTTAAAAAAAAAATCCAGTTTCTTCATTTTCCTTGATTTTAAGGGTTAATCTGTCCATTTCTGCACATTCTAATATTTTTTTTAGTTTCGTTTTCCTCTGTAATGATCTTTTCACTTTTCCATTGTTGTGCAAATACAATTCTAGCTGCAGTTAATACATGTAAAATCAAGTATTGTATTCCCTTTATTATATTTTTTCCAGTATGACACCCAAAAAGAATATTGCTTGATTTAAGTCTGTATGCTTCTTTATGATTTGTTCTAACCATGTATGTATTTTTGGCCATTTTTTTTTGGCCTTTATTTTATTTATTTATTTATTTAGTTTGTCAACCATGTACAAGATAACAGGTATAAGTATAAACATGAACACAGCAAATAGGTACGAATAAATGGGACTAGTAGGGCAGGGACGGTAGGCACGCTGGTGTGATTATGCACGCCCCTTTACAGACCTCTTAGAAATGGGGTGAGGTCTACGAAAGACAGTTTAAGGTTAAAGTTATGGGGGTTTGAGGAAGTAACAATGAAATCAGGTAGGACATTCCAGGCGTTGACCACTCTGTTGCTAAAGTCATATTATCTGCAATTGAGTTTGGAGTGGTTTATATAGTTTGTATCTATTGTTTGCCCATGTATTATTGAGGTTGAAGCTGAAGTATTCACTGACAGGTAGGAAGTTGTAGCAGACAATTTAGGTCCGACCTTAGTCCGCGTAGTTTTAGGTTGGCCAAAATTTCGAGCCTGGTGGCATAAGGGATTCTATTGCGAGGAGTGGAAGANAGGAACTCCGCGAGCTTCAAGTGGCTGCGGGAAGACCCAATAAGAGCCTTTCAGCACCTCCCCTTGGAAACACAAAAAGAAAGTCTGATTACAAACCTTTGGCTCCGTCGGAGAGAAAAAGAGAGAGAGAGAGAGAGAGAGAAATTGGCACATGACAGCCCTGTATATAAAGCCTTAACAAGCCCAGCGCCTTTTGGAGAACCCAGGTGCTGGGCGCAGTGGGGGAAGACCCGGAGGCGGCAGCGGAGGAGAAGGAGAAGAGAAGGAGGAGGAGGAGAACTAGAAGGAAGAGAAGGAGAAGGAGAAAGAGGGGAAGATGCTTCTTTAAAAGCCAGCCAAGGAACCGGAGACCAGAGCGGGCGCTTGTCGGGGCTCCGGAGCTACAAGGGGGACTCTGCCTTCCGCCGGGCGAATGCGCAAGTGACCTGGTCGCCCAGGCGAGCCAGATCCCCCCACTCCGGGCCCGGCGAGCCATGCCGCCTCTCTGGCGGGGTTCCTTCTGGCTGTGCCTGGCCCTATTGCCCGGTCTGGGCGCGCCGATGCCGTCGGAGATCGTGACTCCCATCCGCCTGGATCCGGATCTCAACGGGCGCCAGTATTTCCAGCGAGGGGACGAGGATCCCCCGCAGCAAGGGACCATCTTCCAGATCACCGCCTTCCGGGAGGATTTCTACCTGAACCTGAGCCCCGATGCCCAGTTCCTGGCTCCCGCCTTCGCCACCCGCTACCTGGGCGCCCCGCGGAGGGATGAGCCCCGGGACCTGCGCCGCTGCTTCTACTCCGGCGACGTCAACTCGGATCGGGACTCCTTCGCCGCCCTGAGCCTCTGCGGTGGGCTGACCGGCGCCTTCGGCTACCGCGGGGCCGAGTATCTCATCAGCCCGGTGCGCAACGCCAGCGCCGGCGGGCAGGCGCTGCGCAACAGCCAAGGGGCGCACCTGTTGCAGCGGCGGAGCGCGCCTCGCCACGCCGCGGCCACCTCTCGCTGCGGGGTAGATTCCGCCTCCCACCCGGCTTTGGCGCAAGCCCTGGAGAGGTACAAGGGCTCCGGGCCCGGGGGAGGCAAGCCGGGCCAGAACGAGACGATGCCGTCGGGGCTCAGGAAGAGCGGCCGCGCCAAGCGCTTCGTCTCCATCCCCAGGTACGTGGAGACGCTGGTGGTGGCCGACGAGTCCATGGTCAAGTTCCACGGCGACGACCTCCAGCACTACCTGCTGACCCTCATGGCTACGGCCGCCCGGCTCTACCGGCACCCCAGCATCCAGAACCCCATCCACCTGGCCGTGGTCCAGTTCATGGTCATCGGGCAAGACGACAAGGGGCCCAAAGTGACGGGCAACGCGGCGCTGACCTTGCGCAACTTCTGCGTCTGGCAGAAGAAGTGGAACAAGGGCAGCGACAAGCACCCCGAGTACTGGGACACCGCCATCCTCTTCACCAAAAAGGTGGGGTGGAGTGGGGTGGGGGGCTGGAGCGGGTCGGAGGGACGGGAAGGCCCGGGGGGAACGGCGGGGAAGGCGGGCGCGCTCCCTGCGCTCTTGGAGCTTGGATTCCCGCCTCCTCGCAAGTTTGGGGACCCACCTCTCCTTCCCTCCCTCCCTCCCTCCCTCTGGACGCTTCTGCCTGTCCCCGGCGTGCCTTTGCCGGCGGGAAGGGAAGGGAGGGAACTGGGTGTGGGGAAGGGAGGAGAGAGACTGTCGCCCCTCCCCGCCTCCAGAAGCACTGAGCTTCCCCCGTGTTGGAGCAGCCGTCTTCGCAGCGGGACCAGGGGAGGACGAGGAGGAGGTGGAGGCGCTGTAAGAATCCAGATGTGGTGCAGATGATGCACGCTTCTGCAGGGATGGTGGCGATGGAATTCTCCTTGGTCCCTTCCCTGGGTTTCTTTCCGGCTTTTTTCGTAGGCAGCAGCTCGATCTCGGAGGCAGCTTCGCAGAGCAAGACCCAGCCTGTCTCTGGAGATTCTCAGTCATCCAGGTCAGGGTTGTCCCAAATGCTTTTTTTCAAGAGGCAACTGGACTTTCTGGGTTTTTCTTTGAAGGCGTTTCACTTCTCATCCAAGAGGCTTCTTCAGCTCCAGACCATCCAGTCAGAGCTGAAGAAGCTTCTCTGATGAGAAGTGAAACGTCTTCAAAGAAAAACCAGAAAGATAGAGTAGAATAGAACAGGGTAGAGTAGGGTAGGGTAGAGTAGAGTAGAGTAGAGTAGAGTAGGGTAGGGTAGGGTAGGGTAGCGTAGGGTAGAGTAGAGTAGAGTAGGGTAGGGTAGAGTAGAGTAGAGTGGAGTAGAATTAGAGTAGAATAGAGTCCTAGAATAGAATGTAGACTAGACTAGACTAGAAAGTAGAATAGAATAGAATAGAATAGAATAGAATAGAATAGAATAGAATAGAATTCTTTATTGGCCAAGCGTGGTTGGACACACAAGGAATTTGTCTTTGGTGATATGTTCTCAGTGTACATAAAAGAAAAGATACATTCATCAAGAATCCTAAGGTACAACACTTAATGATAGGCATAGGGTACAAATAAGTAGCATAATCAAATCATACTAGGAAACAATCAATATAAATCATAAGGATACAAGCAACAAAGTTACAGTCCTGCAGTCATAAGTGGGAGGAGATGGGTGATAGGAACGATGGGAAGATTAAAAGCAATAGCAATGCAGACTTAGTAAATAGCAATAGCAGTTAGACTTATATACCGCTTCATAGGGCTTTCAGCCCTCTCTAAGCGGTTTACAGAGTCAGCCTCTTGCCCCCAACAATCTGGGTCCTCGTTTTACCCACTGCCTGGGGGGGATGAGTTCCCTCCCCTCTCGACATGTATGGTTGTGCGACTGTTGTCTACTCTTATTATTTGTATTTTGTCTTTTATGTTCCCCCTTTTTTTTCCCCTTTGAATTGTTCGCCGCCCTGAGTCCTCCCGGAGAAGGGCGGCATACAAATAATAAAATACCAATACCAATACCAATACTTCAGAAGAGTGGAAGACTGAGTCAAGCTTGAACCGGTGAGAGATTTGAACTGCTGAACTGCAGCTAGCAGTCAGCTGAAGTAGCCTGCAGTACTGCACGCTTAACCACCGCACCATCTCGGCTCAGTACAAGTGTAGGCAGCCTTGTGTTTCAACTACAACTTGCACAGATTGTTGCCTAACAAGGGTTAAAAGTTTAAAACATCCGAAGGACTCCAGGATGTGGATTACCCCCAAATTTAAGGCCATCCTCTGATCAGATAGCCACCCTGGCACAGCAATTAACTAGCAATTTACAAAAATCAGTAGAGAACTAAGTATGTGAATCCTTTTGAACGTGCTGACTATTGTTTGAACAAAAAGATGTCTATTTCCTAATCTTCCAGCTCTCTAAATCAACTGTAGACCTCTGTCTTACGGATTCCTCATGAGACAAAACTGTCTGGAGCCAGGGGTGAAATGCTCTGAAGTCTGCTAACGGTTCGCTTCGCTACCGGTTCACTTTACCCGCGCATGCGTGCTGTTTGCCTGAACCAGTAGTAAAAAAATGCTACCAATTCGGGCAAACTGGTAGTTCCAACGATCAGCTGTGCAAGAATCAGCAGTGTCACACCATTTCTAATTGATTTCTAATTGATCTGATTTCTAATCGCGCAGCACAGCTGATTGTCACACAGCTGAT